TAAAGGTGAGGAATCTTGGTGAAGATGCTGTTTACACAAGAGTCTCTGAGTCTGAATTAGAAAAACGCCAAGAGAAACAGAACTGAGACGATAGAAAGTAGATACAATTTAAAGATAGAAGCTGCGTGACCAAAAGTGGGTGGGCTCTGGAAAACAAGCATCAAAAATAGAGGACTGAATAAATTCATTACCTTTTCTCACTTCAAAATCTTCCAAAGTGGAAAAGGCATAAATCCACGAGATCAAAAGGAAGGAAAGGGCAGATAATCAGCAACCAAATGGTGGAGGCCAGAGAACAGAGCCTGGGGTAGGAAAGGCTTACCAAAATGGGGAGAATGAACATTTAACCAGCACCAGGGAAAGCTAAGGACAGCTGACTTCAGACTAAAACAGACAGGCAAGATCACTGGAAATAAAAGCAAAAGTGGTAGCAAAAACTGAAGGGTTGGGAAATGACTCCATTGGTAAAGGGCTTATGGTACAAGTATGAGAACTTGGGTTCAGATTCCCAGTGTCCACAATAAAATTCCAGGTGGCACAATGTATGTAACCCCAGTGTTCACAGGGATAGAGGTAAGTAGGGTCCCGGGGCTCACCAGTCAACAAGTCTACCAGATTTGTGGAGCCTCCAGGTTCAAGGAGAGACCCTCTCTCAATAAATGATATAGAGTGTAACCAAGAAAGACACCCAATTGACCACTGGCCTCCACATACAACATATACATACAAACATACAAAAGCAAAAACAGAAAGAAAAGAAGAATTGGCTAAACATCAGAGAGATTGCCCTCCCAGATCTTGCTCTGTATCATACAGACAGGACACTGACCCTTGCCATGCAGACAAGGAGAGTGGAGACAGTTTTCTGACAAGGTAAAGCACAGGCTTCAGGGACAGTTAGACAACAGTAAGAGTCCGATACTTAAAACAGGTATTCAGCCCATGTGTGCACATTGCCTCTTCAATCACCCAGCCTTCTCTGTTCATTTGAGTCCTGATGGCTTAGTCTCAATCAAAGATTTAGGAAAGTTATCCTTGGGTATACCAGATGGCTAATGCAAAAGACCTGACACCAACATTCTAGCCAGGTCACTTATAGTGAAGCCTAGGGCTATACAATCCCATATACAAAGACCTGTGGTTAATAAATCACAAATAAGCTAGAGAGGCACCTAAGGGTCTCCAGACATAAAGGGGAAGTCTTTGGAACAAAACATACCAGGAAAGAGCTTTAGAGAAAACACAACATCCATGAGACAGAGACATCCTGTTACTAGAAAGGGACAGAGAAGAGTGTTTGTAGAAAGTAAAGATATGACACAAAAGTTAGAAGATGAAACTAAGAAAAATTCTCAAAAACTAGAACAAAAAAAATATCAATGGAATGAAATCTAGTATGACACATGGAACAGTTTGAGTAACATCCAAGTACCTAATGATTCCACACAGCACAGGGATAGTAAGAGACAGAGATAAAAATCCAGAAACTTTTCCAGAACTGGAGGATGAGTTTCTACATAAAAGGGGTCTTTTGAAGATTGACATACATATATATATATATGTATATATATGTATACACACACATATGTGTGTGTATGTATATATATATATATAATAAATATATTATGAATTCTTAGCACACTAGAAGTAAAAAAGAAAAATCCTAAAAATATTCAAAGAGGAATAAAAAGAGATTCACTTGAAATATAAAGACCAGGATTTGGCTGAGGTAAGACTGAAGGGTAGGAGGGGCAGTAGAGCAATGCCTTCACACAGTGATGTAAAGTTCCCCAACCTAGTGACATATTTCAACTGTCAGCACTCCTATATGTTGACAGTCATTTTTACATATGTGTGTGCTTAACTCACCTTTTGTGGCCTTTTTTGGGAATACACTAGACAGACAGAAGGCTCTACTGAATTGAGAGAGTAAATCAGAAAAGAGAAGGTGTGAATGGCAGGAGGCAGGGTGCCCCTGAAGAGATAATCACATGAAGTCTTAATGGGAAGAAATCAGACTGTTCCATTAAGCTGTCTACCCTTTTGCCACTGTGACATGATGTCATCTACAAATGTATTATCATAATTACCCAAGGACACATGTGGCCTGTGTGGGGACTGAAGGTTGGACATGCCTGTTTGGGGGAACCTCCCCAAGATTAAATCATAGATATATCCAAACACCTTAGACAGCTTAAGAGATTTCCAAAATTATCTCTGGGGATAAATTAGTAACAAAATTAAGGAAGCTGAGTTATGTGGATCAAAAGTTAAGATCAGAAGGACAAATATAACTGATTAACAGAGAAGATTTGATAGGAAGAATCACTGACTGGCTGGACACCAAGAGTTAAAAAAGCAAAAGGAAAAATTAAGTACCACAGAAATAAAAAATTCAGGCTGTGGCTACCAGCTCTTCACAGGGGAGCAAAGAGAGACAGTGGACCAGTTCAGACTTGCAAACTCAGAGGGAGAATACTTGTCTATGCTGCCTTGTTTTATGTCAACTTGACACAAGCTAGAGTCATCAGAGAGACGAGAGCCTGAGTTGAGAAAATGCCTCCATAGGATTGGGTTGTAAACAAGCCTGGAGGGCATTCTTAATTAGTGATTGACACGAAGGGCCCAGTCTGTCATGGGTGGTTACCATCCTGGGCTGGTGGTCCTCGTTTCTATAAAAAGGCAGGCTGAGCAAGCCATAAGGAGCAAGCCAATAAGCAATATTCCTTTATGGTCTCTGCATCTGTTCCTACCTCCAGATTCCTGACCTGTTTGAATTCTGGTCCTGACTTCCTTTGATGATGAACTATGATATGAAAGTGTAAGCCAAAAACAAACAAGCAAACAAACAAACAAAAAGCAAAACAAAGAAAAAACCCTTTCCTCCCCAACTTGCTTTTGATCATGTTGTCTCATCTAAGCAATGGTAACTATGACAAAGCAGTATCTCCAGGCGGAGCCCGTGAGGTACTAGACACTCAGAACTGTTGCTCTGAACATGACCCATAGATCTGGAACCCACGCTTTGGGGTGTGGCTGGTGCTGGCATATCTCAAATTGGATATAATGAGGCTGATTCTGAAAGTGGTAGGAAAACTACCCACTGGAATTTCCTACCAGTGTTGAGACACTAGGCTGATATGAGGGAGGAAGGAGACAGAGGTGAGAGCCCCATGAAAAGGAAGTCCAGGCAGCAAGCAGACATGCACAGCCCTCCTTCCTGTTGCAACCTCCCTGTCTTTGTGTTTATGTGTCCTTCTCCCCCTATGCCCCCCTCCCCAGGGTCCCTTATTCACCGAATAGGCCAGTGACTACCAACATAAAAATGTTCAAAGACCCAAGTCAAAAAATAGCCCATGGTAAAGGAGGTGGGGCAGGTTTGAAATCAATAGATAGCAACCCCAAAACCTACACCAGGGTTATCTTAATTCTGGGGAAGCAAAAGGGCCCCCCAAAAGACAAATGGTGAGAGTTCCTGTCTGAGCTCAGCAGAGAACCGCTTTCAAATTGTCATTTTTTCACAAACACTGAAGTCTGATTCAACTAAAATTCCCAAGAAATTGCTGACTAAATGGAGAAACTTAGAAGTGTTTTGTTGGGGGGGGGGGGAATCTGGGAGTCGGTGAAGAAGCTAAACACTTCTCTTGCATGACTGGAAATCAACAGGGAGTATTTAAAAGAGGGACGCAATGTAAGCTGGCCATTGTGAGATGCAGAAGTGAATATGAGAAACACAGTTCACTGGGGAGGGTGGCAGTGACACCCCAGGGAAGCAGGGATAGAAGGGGACACTTGGATGGTTGTTTCTCAGGGCAAGCCTTGCTGGGTACCATGGTTTGGCAAAATGTCTTTAGGCAGGCATTCCGCCTTGCCTCCTCTCTTTGGTTGCTGCCCAGTTATGGTGACCACTGGAAAGAAAGGGTTGCTCACCAGCCATGCTGAGACCTTGCTCTCAAGCCAAAAGAACATAGAATTTCATTGAGAAAACACTGTATAACGAAAAACAGTTTGCAAGGCTAGTCAGAACCCATGCAGCCAGAGCAGACCTGGACTCAACACTTGTAGGAAGGAGTGCTTAATAAGGGCAGTTTTGAGTCATCATGAAACTGACATGACCCTTGTCATGCTAACTCAGCCTGCATCAGGAGGTGACAGCCCACCTGTTTGGCTTCATATATACCAGAGCAGAGCAGAGCCAGGCTCTCTCTGTGTCCAAGGAGACTGCATCTGTCGACACCCAATGAGAGCAGGGGTGATTAATGAGATGTTGAGTCTGGGCTGGGAGCAAACGCAGAGCCTGAGCTACTGACTTAGAGCCAAAGGCCCTTCAAGAGGTGCATTAAACACCAGTTCATCTGAACCCAGGGGAGCATATGTCCTAATTCTTGGGGTAATAGTGAACATACCCTAGTTTACACAGGCTTCAGGCTGATAAGACATGTGTCCAAGTCCTCTTCTGCGAATGCAGAATCAACCCTCTTGTGAGTATACCTATAACACTTGCCCATGCAAACATTGGCTCGGAGAAGTCTGCACAACTCCAAAGTATCCCTGCTTCTTCTCAGAGCCTGCATGACCTCTCACAATAAAACACTCAACTCTCACCAGCTCTGGCCTGTCCGTCCTTACACTCTGCTAGAAGGAATACACCCTCTGTGTCATTTGGAGGGGAAGACAAAACAGGTCCCAGGGATGCTGCGGAGCCTGTCTTCCTAAACATTTTTGCATTCTGGATAGTGATGAAAACGGAAGGATGATGAGGCAACCTAGGGAAGACCACTTAAGTAACATTTGCTTTTAGTCTTACAGATGCTGTGCATTAAACATCCACTATGACATGCTCAGAAACTTTGAAAGAGCTAATAGGTCTCCAAAGATAGCCAGTCACACTTGACATTTAACCCTTCGCAAAGAGCAGCCCCCAAACTCTATGTCAGCTAGGGTTGGCTCGCCTAACTCATGCTGCGGTTGACATGAGTGTACTCTTTCTTCTCTTTCAGATTATGACATTTGTGCTCAAGCTCCCTGTGAACAGCAGTGCACAGATAACTTTGGCCGAGTGCTGTGCACTTGTTACCCAGGATACCGATATGACCGCGAGAGACACCAAAAGCGGGAGAAGCCATACTGCTTGGGTGCGTAGGAAATGCATTTCTACCTCCTGGGGACATGCTGTGTTCAGATACCTCTGCTCTTTGTTGGGTTTGTTGCAGCATCAGGACCAAGTCAGAGGAGCTGCTGTAAGCTCTGTCTCCTCCCCTGAAGTCTTTGCACTAGAAGGATGGAGTGCTGTTTGGTTTTAGCCTGTGAACCAATAGTTTTCATCATGTTTATCACAATAAATAATGTACAAAGATGTCTTCAGGAACTGGAATTAGGCAGAGCCTAACTGAGAGGGGAAATAAGAACTAGAGAAAGAGAATGTCCCACATAAACCAGAATGATGTAAGACAGAGCATAAAGTGTCAGAAGCCAGGTGTGGTGACACACACCTTTAATTCTAACATTTGGGAGGCAGAGGCAGGAAGATCTCTCTGAGTTTGAGGCCAGCCTAGTCTACATATTGAGTTCCAGGACAGCCAGGGTTACATAGAAAGACCCTTTCTCGTGAAAAGAAAAATCAGAACTGTAAAAACTTGGAAGAAAATGAGGACTGGCAGCCCTGGGGTCCAAGCAGGACAACAGAAGGATTGGTATGCTGGGCAGAAGGGAAGAAGTCTTAAGGATGCTGAGGCCAATTGCCAGGACAACAGCTGAGCAAGCAGTTCAGCCAGCCTCAGTGGCCACCAGCCTGTTTCTTTCGTCCCTATTGACTGGGGTCTCCCACCATGCCCTTCTAAGAAGGCTTCGGACTCATTGTCTCAAGGGTTGTATGTTTCAAAGTGTGATCATTTTGTGGCTAACCTGGAGTCTTGGCCTCCTCTCCAGGACTAATGAGACATAGCTCTGAGCAGTAGACCCAGGAATATGCCTTTTCACAAACGACACTGAGTGACAGGTTTAGTGAAGTTCAAGAAACAGACGATCAATAGGTTCAAGTGGGAATTTAAGCTGTCTTGTTAAGTCACCATTCCCTTCTGTCCACCAGGGCTCTGGGAAGAACTTTTTTGGGGAAAGGTCTAACCATAGGCCTCCTGAAGCCTCCCAACAGTATCTGGAAGCACTACCACACACTAACAAGGGATGGGGCCAACAAGTAAATAGAGCAGGAGCCCACGTCACAACTTACATAGAGCAGGGATGTTCCCAATGGCTCAGTGCCACATGTGAAGGCTAATGTTCCAGTGCCCAGTAACTACTTTAACCTTCTGTTTTCTTTTGGAGACCAGAGGAGTTTCTGTTCGACAAAGAGTACCACAAAGCACAACTGTTTCGTACTTTGATTAGGACAGGGTCACCTCTAAGTAGGCTTCAACTAGGACCCCCAGCCTCTAGATGACAGTGTGTTCTGCCAGGGGAACACCCACATTGCCTCAGCTCCTGTCAGAGCTAGGTCTTTGGCAGCTTGCCTGGGAAGCAGTTGGGAAGCTGTCGATCTCCTGAATTTCAGGGCTGGGCTCTACCTGCCACATGTGTAGTCTGAGGTTGTATCTTTATTCTGACCCACTACACCACGGTGTCTTCATCCAGTGGGCAGGAAATAGAATACAGCCTTCCTGTCTTTCCTGTGGTGAGAAGCATTTTCGTTTCTCCCCCATGCCACAGGGAACCGGGTCAGTGATGTACACAGTCCATGCTGACTCTCTTGTGGTCCCTTGTTTGGTGAACTCATGGCTCATTTCCACAGCTCACCAGGGGTCAGCTTGGGTCAGTATGGAGCAGGGACTGCCTGGAGAAACCTCTCTCCATGAGGCCCATCCTACTATTTACTTTTGTTAGAAGTAGCTTTTTCCAGTTACTGTCATGTCTCTTAACTGGGAAGAGACCATTCCTAAGTGACCTTTGGGTCACCATCGTGCTGATTGGAACCTCCCACTATAAACGGGGATTAAGCCTTGGCATACCAAGCTACTTGCAGAAGTCAGCTGGGTTGCTGATCATCTTGTTTTCCATGGAGCCCTGGGGAGTGCTTACGGCTGGCCTTATTGCCATGCTCTATGTATGGGTGAGTGAGACTCTGAGGCACCACGTGACCAACACCACCACTCTAGGTCTCCAGTGGCAGGCAGATGGCCCAACATTAAGGTTTCACGTGTGGCCTGCAGTGACAGTACTATACTTTATTCCACACTTCTCTAGCCCTAGCCTAGAAGTTTCTCTTTCTCATGTCAACAGAGGAGCGAGTTGTGTTGCTGTGTTGAAATTGTTCTATATATTTGATTCAAACCAGATATTGACGAATGTGCTAGCAGCAACACCACTCTGTGCGCACACATCTGTGTCAACACCATGGGCAGCTACCACTGTGAGTGCCGGGAGGGCTACATCCTTGAGGATGATGGGAGGACCTGCACCAGGGGAGACAAATACCCCAACGACACTGGTGAGCACGACAAGCATGATTCCCCTAATTATGTGCACATTTCTATAGAGTATCAGTTTGAGAATTACATGCACATGCAATGAAATTGTATCTTAAATGTTTATATATTCTATATCCTACAAATGTAGCTTATATGTATACTGCATGTTGCATATTTATATGTAAAATGATATTCTATGTAGTATCTTATGATATGTATGCATGATATATAATAGTGCTTGAACATTATAATATATAAAATGCAATTAAGTATAATCTATAGTCCATAGTATGCAATCATACTATATATAGTACATGTTATTTTTAGTGTTGTAAATGTATTATTTATCCCATTTTATATATTTATGTGTAGTATGTATTATACATAACATGTAAATTATAGGTACTTGGGAGCCTAACCACTCCTCTGGTGACTCTGTGCAAGATGGGACACTTACAAGTGGGACCTAGGTGAGAACCAAAGATCAAACTCATCCTAAGGAGAGCTGGTGGAGTGAGTGTTGCAAGCTGGCACATGCTGGCATGCCTGTGGAGAAATCAGTAGCATTTGTCTGTGTGCATCTAAAAATCTAGAACGAACAGGGAAGAGGCCAGATGTACTGTGTTCTCTCAAAGAGACTATGTTAAAATGTGTATTTAAATGATTTCCACATATGGTCCCAGTCTATTTCAACACATTCAAAATGCAGTTCATATCGTGTGCCCATCTGGGAACTAGTTGTTTGGTTCGTGAGTGGATAAAAACAGAGAATGAGAGTGTGAATGCATTTTTGCAACAATTTGACAGAGGGCATTTATTTAAATTCCCAATTTTATGCTTGTATTTCACTTATAATCTTTCAAGCAATTCATTTTGTATCATTCCACACTCAGTTTCAAAATTTCCACCATCTGGGGCTTCCACATGGAGCTGGGAGGCTGCTGGACATGAACATGGTAGCCAGATTCAGCCAAGATGGCTGGGCCCTTGAGCATAGGATCAGCCTACATGCTTGTTACTTCTGTGAGTTTGAAGGAAACAAGAAAGAAGTAAAAGGAAGAAAGGGAAAGAGAAAAACTCCCAGATTGGTGGGGATGCTTGTAACATTTGCTTGCAAAGTAACTCTGATATCTCTGCCAAATGCCAAGCTAGTCATTCAAATTTAGAATTTCAGCCTGTGGGAACCAATGTCAGTCACCTTCCAGCTGGAATGAATTTTGAGGCAAATAATCTTCCCTACCAGTGTTGGTTAAATGAGTTCCCTGGAAAGAAAGTCCTTAGTTTTTTAGAGGGCCAGGAGTTGAATTTTGCATGTCATGAACATGCAGTTGCATGTGCTCGAGTACTCACATGAACTCACAGTCAAGAGAGGTTAGAGAGTCTGAGCCATCCCTGAAAAGGGAGGAGGCTCCTAGGGCAAAATCACATGTACCAAGATGTGCGGGGAGTTGAGAAAACCAGACACATCTGGGCACTCACGAGATGGAGCCTGAGCTTCAAAAGAGACTGTGAGGCAGCAGACAGCTGGAGACCAGCTGCCTCACGAGGAGCAACTACAAAGGCGGGTTCTGGAGGGCAGCTAGGTTGAGTCATGGAGAAGCCACCAGGCACAAAAAGTAAATGCAAAATAGCTACTTGAAGCCAGCTCTGGGCAGGGCATTCAAGGATCATGTACTTGAGCTAGAGGGGCTGAGCATGGGGACACCTTTGAGACTGAAGCACATGGAGTCTGCCCATCCAGAGGGCGCTGCAGACCTAGGGACAGCAATCTTTGGGGAACATAGTTTTAATTGGGAAAATAATTTACAGACCACTGTTTTAAATTCAAAATTAAAATCACTGCAGTTTGCCCCATGGGGCCAAGAGTGTGAGAAAAGGGCAGGGAGGCGTGGCATATCTCTTTATCAAAATGAAGGTGTTCATTGACAGTGGGTGCCACCGTTTAGCCACCAACCAATTCATATGTGGGACTGTGGGGGACATAATCACAGGGAAGTTGCTTTCATAGTATTTGTTATAGAGTTGGATTTCCAGCCTCCTATACACAGTTGTCTGTGGGTACCTGTATACGGTTGGCTGTGGATTACCTGTATACAGATGGCTGTGGCTTGCCTGTACACAGTTGGCTATGGGTTGCCTGAGTTGATTTGGAGATGAATATTTTTGACATGGGCAGGATGGAGCCTAGAGAAGCCCAACACAGAACAAAACCACCAGAATAGCAAAACCTGTGTTGCTGAGTGTCAGGGTAGAAATCCATGCTGGGGGTGGGGTCAGATGCCCATAACCCAGTGCTGACCCTCCCACAAGAAGTCCCTGTGTGTTGGGGCAGGTTGATCTTGTAGGACAGAGACACTAACAAAAAGAAGGAGAGAGATCAAATGGAAGTTCTAGAGACCTGTGTAAGATTTGATTGCTGAGTCTCCAGAAATCTCCACCCCTAGAAGTAATTCCTAGCTTTTCTACACACATTTCTTTTTGGTCCACAGGCCATGATCCTCTGTGGTTTCTCAGTGAGGTACTGGGATTGGCTTCAGTGAGAACTCACCTGTGCCCCACATCCAGCAAGGCAAGAGAAAGGGAGGCCGAGTCTCACGGCACCTTTTGTTTTGTTTTTCAGTCCTTTGAGAATTGCACACAGTTTCATATACAGTGCCTCTCGGTCAGCTGGGGTCTTGATCACCGTCTCCTGCAAACAGAATGTTCCCTGATGAGAGCTGAGAGATGCCCTAATCTATGGACCTAATGATAAGTCATTAGGAGTTGGTCCAATACTAAGTCCATGTAGCAGAATAATAGAAGTAGGTTCTCTCCTAGGGTCTGTGCTATAGGTTCTTAGTCTGATAATGATGGTATAGGTTTCATCTTGTGGAGTGGCTCAATCAGAAAGTGGTGTGCCATGCTCTGGCTCACACTTAGTTGGCTTTCATGTATAGCCCAGGACCACCTGTCTAGGGATAGTATTGCCCACAGTACACTAGGCCCTCTTGCTCAATACTGTCCCCCACAAACAGGACAACAAGCCAATCTGATCTGGGCAATTCTTCAGTCAAGGCTTTTGTCTCAGATGAGTCTAGACTGTGTCAAGTTGACAAAGCTAATTAGGACCCTTGAATTCCACGTAATTACCTACACAACCTTATAAATATCTAACAGAGCTGGAGAGGTGGCTCAGTGGGTAAAGTACAAGCTACACAAGCACGGGGGCCCACGCTCAGATCCTCTGGAACCACATAAAAGCAAGATGTAGCAGCCCAGATCTCTAACCTTAGAGCTAGGGGGTTGGAGACAAGCAGATCCTTGGGGCATGTCAACCAAGACGTCTAAGCAAAATAGCAAGGTCAAGCTTGAACTTCATAAGAGACCTTGTCTCCAAAAATAAGGTTGAGGGGCTGGAAGGGTAGCTCAGTAGTTAAGAGGTGGATTTTGGGACCCAGAATCCACATCAGGCCTCTTAGAATTATGAATAACTCCAGTGCCCACTGCTGGCCCCCTCAGGCACCTGCATGTACATGGTGCACATACTGTATGCCATCACACACTGGTCTCTTTTAAATGAATTGGAGAACACTAGAGAAAGACACCAGATGCACATTCACTTCACATACCACCCCCACCCCCACATGCAAAATAATAATTTGTACAAGGAATATTAATACGTTAGTTTATGTGTATTGTATGTGTATGGGTGTTTTGCCTGTATGTATGTCTATAAACCACAGGCAGGCAGTACCCAAGGAGGCCAGGAAAGGGTATTGGATCCCCCTGAGACTGGAGTGAGAGATGATTGAGAGCTACCATGTGGGTACTAGGAATTGAACACAGTTCCTCTGGATAGTTGGCCAGTGCTCTTAACAAATGAGCCATGTCTCCGGCTCCCAGATATTAATCTTTTAAAATATTTCATAGGTGAGTACAGATTGAAAACTATCTTATATCACAAACCTGAGCTCTGGAGCTAAGCTTGGTAGGACATCTGGTAAATCTCAGACAAAGGTGTTCCTAGAAGACAGAGTGGAGAAGTGCAGAGAGTGGAGATTCACTCTACAGGCCCTGGTGTAGAACAGGTGGAAACAGGCACAGGCCTTTTTCATTGTGCCATAGTCAGAGATGCCTGGTTCCTCTAACAGCAGCACAAAGGAAAAATGCCCTTGTCTTTTGCTAGCACAAACCATCTGGTGATTTTACTCCCAAGACTTACTGAGACACAAGGCTTAAAAAACTGAATTTTCCTTCTGCCTCTTCCCCCACCACCCTCCATGCACGGCAGTTTCACCTGTTTTGAAAGAAATGAAACACACTTACAAAATGCCACCATCAGCTCTTTCACACTCCCCCGAAATGCAATCCTTACAATTAACTCCTCATTTTCCATCTACAGTCTCCACTGAATTCAACACATATGTGTAGAAGTGTTTGGTTTGGTTTTATATTTTACAAAGAAGCATCATTACACTGATGATCAGGAGTGTCTGGGGTAGAGATTGAGAAGAATCATTCATACAGATAGTTTTGAGAAAGAACAAGGTCTCCGTACACCCAATGGCCTCTGTCCTGATTCACTGCTTGACCACTGAGCCATCGCTGCCACTGTTCTTTCTCTCCTGCCTCTGATGACTCTGGGGACTGAGAGAAGAAAAGGGGAAGGAAAGGGCTCTGAAGGCATTTGTCTGACAACCATGATGCCACAGGAAGTTCCTTGCCTGGGAATGTAGAGCAGGTAACAAACACTGGGTTAGCACTCACTCACTGTGATTTGAGACTGCTCTCTGGATCTATTCTCTTCAGTGCCTGGGACACTATTGGTCTCCAGCTCCAGGGCCCTTTCCCCATCGCTGGGATACAATATGACAATGCAAGTTCTCCCTGCATTTTCATTTCCTGATCCTCTATCTGTGCAAGTACTCAGGCTTGAAAGTATGCCCAGCTTTAACACCTTCCGCGTAGGGAACATTCCTCGATCTATCTCAAGGGTGAGTGATTTCACATCTGGATAAGCAGCTCAATAGTAAGCCTTGCTCACAGCAAAGAGGGCCTTCTGGACATGAGGCAGCTAAGCATTTCCAGCTGCTTTGGACAAAGTAGCCAGCCTGGTATTTCATCACTTTTCTTTTTTATAATGAAGATAATGATTATTGAGGATAAACACATAATCTAAAAATCACCTCTCCCTGTGTGCTATATGTTTTGAGTTTGGGGGAAGTTCTTTAGGGAAAGGTATTTCTGAAGCCTTTCATTGTCCAACATCTACAATGTTAGAGTCAGACAAATTTAAAATAGGAGTCCAGGGTCAGTGAGCAGCTTGTCATATAAGCCTGATGGCCTGAGTTTGATCCCAGAACCCATGTAAAGGTAGCAGGGGAGAACCAACTCCATAAAGTTGTCTGTATGTCTCCATGGAGACAAATGTATGTCTCCATGGAGACAAATGTATGTCTCCACATGTGTACCTTGGTATGCACAAGCCTACACATGCGCATGCATGCACACACACAATACAGTGTAATACAATTTAAAACTATAATAATAGTGATAATAATAATAATGATGATGATGAGGGCTAGTAGCATAGAAGGGATATGGCCCCAGGGCAGCCTCTGACAATATGAAAGAATGTCCCCTGGCTGGGTGATATAAGCCATCTGACAAATCAGTGTTCAGTCACTTTGATTTTATCTTTGAAAACCCAGAGCTGGAGCCAGCTGAGACACAGGGGAGTCTGCGTAGCACAACAGGGAGACAATAAAGGAAATGTTGGCTCCATCATGATTAGCTTACTGGCCTTTATTTTTCAACTTATGTTTATTTTCTGATAAAGTTACCGTGACCCCAAGTGTCACTCAATACAGTTCAAAGACTCAGAAACGACCAGGTGTTTCAAATAACGTTCAAGCTCTGATAATAATAGATTAGGGCAATGTTAAAACACACTGATACTGTCCCTTACTGCCACCCTCAGGTGTCTGGGTGAAGTAGATTCCAGGGGAGTATTCAAAGCTGCCCCCCCAAGGGATTATGATGTGCCCAGACTGAGTTCACAAACAGCACAGTCAATCCTTTAAACCAAAATGCTTTATTCATTTGTGACACTTCCCATGTGAAACACACTTTTGCTTGTTTTTTGTTTTTGTTGTTTGTTTTTAAGCTTATTTGATATTGTTACTCTAATATCTGAGCCATTAACTTTCTAGTGGTCAGCATGTTTTAACAGACTCCCATAAAAAATTAGTGCTCCGTGCCCCCATGTGGCTACTCGACAGTACTGCATCCTTAAAATCTGGGAAGTCAGCAAAACTGAGATGGGATTTTGGATATGCAGTATAAAGTTTAGCGGAGTATCTTCCTTGGACCTGCCAGACCACATCTGGGTGTTCTCAGCAGAAACTCCCTTTGTGCCCACACCATACCTCAGTAACTGTGTGGTTCTACACAAAGCATTCTGGGTAATCAAGTTACCTTCCCCCTCTGGGTCTTACTTTGTTTATCTCTAAGAGAGTTCTAAAGATGTGTCAGCTCTGACATTCCATGATCCATATTACATGAGTCCAGAGCCAAGTGACGAGGTAGGTTTATCCTGTTATGTAAATATGCAGTTGCACCAACACTTGGAAATCTACCAGAGAATGGTCTTACACCAAGGTCAGAGTAAATAGTAAAGCCAAAATGTTCACTTTTATCTCCCATTCGTAATAGCTCCCTCACAGTGTGCAGCTCGATAGAAGAGGGGTGGGTGGAGGAATGGAGTAATGATTATGGAAAATTGTCAACTTGACACACTGTTTGAGTCATCTGAGAAGAATCTCAGTGAGCAATTATCCAAATTGAATTCATCTATGGGCACGGTGGGGGGCATGCCTTGATGGTGGATAGTTAGTTGAAGACCCAACCTAAAAGTGGGGACATCATTCTGTACTGTATAAAAGAAGGAGTGAGCTGGATGTAAAATCCTGTACTCACGTCTCTCTGCTCTTGATTGGGTATGACCAGTGGCTTCCATTTCCTGTGATTACCCCACAGTGAAAGACTATGACCTGAAGTTGGGAGCTAAAATAAGCCCTTTGTCTCCTAAGTTGCTTTTGCCTGGGTATTTTATCATAGCAACGAGGACCAAAACTAGGACAGATGGGTGCCCTGGCAGTGGATGAGTGCTTCAGAAGGATGGATGGCTCTGCGCATGATTGCGTTGTGCCCTCCATGGTGAAAAAGGGAATCCTTAGCTAGCTTCAGATGTACTCACAGTAGAGAATGGAGAACCCCTACAGAAACAGACAACAGCTCTAAGTCTAGTGGATTTGTAGCTATACAAGGACAGTGGAATGGTCTCCATCTCTCCTGGCCAAGTAATGTAGCCATTGGAATGAGGGCCCTGTCATCACCTTCCAGCTGTCTTCTCTAAAAAGTCATGTTTTTCAGACTCAATGTGGGCCATGCTCCCCGTGAACACTGCACTGTCAGAAATGGGGAAAGGCATTCACTGCTATGTGAGCTTCTGTCTGAGTGTGAGAATTTGTGAAGCATGTGGACTTTGGGCTCTGGGGAACAATAAAAGCATGTCAGACTTATAGAGCCACCATTCTAGAAAGCACTAACAAATGTACACATTTCCACGCATGGAAGCTGCTAAGAAAAGGACCTTCACACATGTTTTCACACACTCGGAAAGTCTAAGAACAGCTGGCCCCAAAGAGTTGCAGGGCCTCTCTCTCTCTCTCTCTGTCCTTTCCCCTCTCCCCTGACCCTGGGTCATTCCGGATCAACCAGAGAACCATAAAATTGTCAACACCTGCCCCTTACACCGTCCATGCTCAGCCTCTCTGTACCCCATGCCCAGAGACTGCCCCTCTAGTGCCATCTCTCCAGGAGTGTGCCCTGCTAGCCTCCCAGCTGGAGCTGAGCCTATGTCTTTCCCCAGGACACGAGAAGGCTGAGAATGAGGTGACAGCTGGGACTTGCTGTGCCACATGCAAGGAGTTCTCCCAGATGAAGCAGACCGTGCTGCAGCTGAAGCAGAAGGTACTGTGAGCTCGACGGGAGGGGAGGGTGGGGTCCATGTGGGGGTTTGGAGGATGGTGAGACACAAGATCATTCTAGTGGGGCACTCTGTGCCGTCAGTGTCAACTAAATGTGAGTTCTGGGTGTTTCCCCACTCCAGCTGACCACCTAAACAGCAGTGGAACACAAGGCAAGGACCTGGGGGGGGGGGTGACTGTATCAGGTCAGGCAATGGGTGTGTGCAAAGATCCTGAAAGAGTAGAACTAATACTGCTGTGACTTCTTGGAGGAGGAATAGATTCATGGCCCTTAGCAGACCTACGCAATGGCATTTTATCTGCTTTGTTTATTTAGACCATTCCCTGTTAAACATTCTCTCTCTTCTATAAACCAGTGTCCTCCTGTGGTGTCTTTATTTTCTTGTGTAACTTTGTGGTCTGGGGGAAAATATGCATCTAGGAAAGCAGCCCTCTGAGTACCTCATATCACCAGCAGCGAGGACCAACTCCCTTTCCAAAAGATTCTGCCTGATGAGATGGGTACCATGGTGCTGGTAATGTCACCCAGCTTTGAGGAAGGGTCTCGTGATGGATCTAGTGGCCTGGGTGACTGTCCTGGGCTGGTGTTGATTACACCTGAGGTCAGCACACTTGCTGGCTTGTCAGCCACTCTGAAACGGCTCTTCAGCTGCCCAAACATAAACTGACTGCTTTGTTGGTTTAATCACTTCCACTCAAGGCTCTCAGGAGATCAAAGCAGTGTGTATAATCTGTTTAACTTTGGCAGTCAGTTATTCTAAAGGGTAAAAGGGTAAACATGAGACACTATCTCTTCCGCGGCCAGAAAAGTGGCAGCTGCCCTAATGAGAAGCCCAGCTACCAGCTAAACCGTGGAACGGCAGGTCGAGAAGGGAAGCGGTGTTTCCGGTCTCTGATGCATGGGCTGGTGAGGTCATGACCATCTATAGCAGAGACTTGTATGTACATGTGTGTTAACTGTGTAATCAAGAGTAAATCATGGACCTAATCATAAATAGCTCTTAATGTTATAGACAGGCAGAAAACCTTGTCTGGGTGCCAGTATAAATAAAGAGAAAGAAGGAAATATTTCCCATACAGCTCTCCCCAGGTGACACTTGAACTGATGTTAGCATTTTTAGAGGAAATGCAGGTTTGTAGAAGCCTTAAACCTGCCTTTCATAGGCTAGAGCATCAAGCGGGGGTGGAGGGGGGTAGTTGATTATGGTCTCAAAGCGTAAAGCTGCCCTCACTTTCCTTCCCTGGAAATAACATATGACCTTACATAAATTCTTTCCAGCTGGAGTGCTTTTAAGGCACTCAACATGGCAAGCTGTTCACAAACTAGTTGCTATGTCTGGATTATTCTTAATTGCCTAGCGTATTGTGTGAACCATGCAAGCTGAGAAAGATTAAAAAGTTGAGTTGCTTCTATTAAGATACATGTGACCCTTGGAGGTTCGCTGGCATTTCACGGGAATCATGAAGGTGTCTCAGTCTTCACTAGCTCTCATGGGTTGGGCTGAGCAGGTATTGTCCTACCCTTATGTCTCACTGTCCCCGTGCATGCAGCATGAACACTGGCATTCATGGGGCATTATGAGAAGTGATTGTGTGTGTGTGTGTGTGTGTGTGTGTGTGTGTGTGTTTGAGAAGTGATTCTGTATGTGTGTCTATGTGTGTATTGTGTATGTGTGTATGTGTCTGTGTGTGTGTTGTGTATGTGTGTGTGTATGTGTGCGTGTATATATGTGTGTATGTGTGTGTATGCACATACACATGCATGGGCACACTCGTGTGCATGGGGGATGGTGTGTGCCTGCATATGTGTGGAGGGTTATTTACCTGTCTGTGTGCATATGTGGAGGTCAGTTGTTTTCCTGCATCAGTCTCCAGCTTGTAGTTTGAGGCAGAGTCTGTTATAAAACCTGGAGCTTGCCATTTCAGCTAGACTGGCTGGCTAGCAATTCCCTGGGATCTCTCCATCTCCATCACCCCAGAGCAGGGTTATAGATATTTGCTTCCATGCCTTGCCTTTACGTGAGGTCTAAGCTCAGAGCAAACACTTGCACACCGAACATTTTCCCTACCCGTTTCCTTTTTCTTTCCTTTCTTTTTCTCCCTTTCGTTTTCTTTCCTCTTCCTTTTCCTTCCTTTTATTCTTACCACCCTTTCCTTTCTTCTCCATCTTCCTTTCTTCCAGACAGGTCTCCTCTGTAACCCAAGCTGGCCTTGACTAGCTATGCAGCTGAGGATGACCTTGAACTTCAGATCTTCCTGCCTTCATTTCCCAAGTGCCAGGGTCACAGGCATAAGTCACCAGGCCCAGCTGAGGGTCAATTCTCTTAAAAATAGGTATCTCCTGGAATGTTGGACTTCCTGTCATATGTGAAACATTTTTATGTACATAATTTCACTTAACTGTCACCATAGCCTTGTAAGAAACATGCTAGCATTCCCAGAGATGAAGTTTATGTTCAAGAGTTCAGACCGAAAATCCAGGCTTTCTCCCGAAGTCTGGTATAGATCATCATTTGCCTTTAGCATCCACTTGCTACGGCCGATACCATCTGTTCTTTTCATAGAACACAGCACATTTAGTTGCTTGGATAAACATTGTCCAAGAAGTAGATATATGGGGAGGGGAGTGATGGAGAGCAGCCAACCCCACAGTATGAGACGTGTGCTCTCATGTTGAACTACACCATGTGTGTACAGTAGTCAGAATTCTTGCCACAGAAAATGCCCCGGGTCAAATCCCTTGGCTCTTCAGGGATCAATTGGAAAGAACGCCACTTAAAACAGAAACATGCAGAACGTAAGGAACCGCCAAGACCTGTTGTCACCTTTTAACTAGCAAAGTTAACCCCAGTGCTTTTAGGTAAGGACTGCTGGGTGGTGAGTCGCTTGATTAATGCAGGACATAATGCACAGCACAGTGGTTGCTTTTAAAGGAAGGAAGAAGAATGGTGTGGGAACTTAGGGAGATCTGGGGTGACTGGAAGTTCTTCATGTTGGCTTAAGCATCCACTGAGTGTACATGGTTCAGTTATTTTCTAAGCTGTGTCTATTAGTTCTCCAAAACGTCCTGTTTGGGCTTGTATTGTCCATTCATATCTCAGTGCCTCTTCCCATCCATTTTTTTTTTTTTTTTTTTTTTTTTTTTAGATCGGAAAAGAAAAGTGATTTACTAAGAAAGAGCTTAGGGACAGGTAAAGTGCCTGCCACTGAGCTTTGGGTTGAGCACTGAGGAAAAATGATTTACACAGCCTGTTGGATTCTCTTTTAAAATTTATTCTCATGGCTACATGGACTGCTAGGAGTGAGACAGCTTTAGAGGACCATGGGAGAAAGACCCCAAGGAGAGAGGGACCCACAAGTGTGCTCAGCCTCTGAAGGCCGCTGCATAGGGACCAAGGAATATCTCACTCTTACACCAGCAACTCATAGTTAACCCACAGTGAGCCATCGAGATGATGTTGCATTTGCTGAGCTGTGCGCTACAGTATCCCGAGCAAATAGTGTGGAATAAAATCCTGTCTCAAGTAAATTGGTATTTTATAAAGAAACCAAGCCAACAGCATGACTTAATGGTGATTGAATGTAGTGAGGAGGGAGCCATGCTTGAGAAATGGGGGGGGGGGGTCAGTGAGATGCACACAGTGAGCATGCTCAGTGTGATCCTTGTTCACTTTCATACCAAGCATATATGCAGGTTCTGAACTGACTTCCCCAGATGTATCACACATGCACACACACACACACACACACACATACACACACATACACACACACACGTCATAAAATTTTTAAAGAAAATGTACAGATATGCCATGAATTTTATTGAAACACAAAGAATAATTATGTAATTTCCAGAAACATATATACACAAAACTTCCTGAAGGGGAGTTGGGGAAGGAACCTTGAGGCAGGAACTGAAATGGGCCATGAAGGAACACTGATTACCAGCTTGTTCACAATGGCTAGATAAGCCTGCTCTCTTATACAACCCAAGACCTCCTGCCCAGGGGTGGTACTGCCCACAGTGGGCTGGGACCTCCTACATCGATTAGAACACCTGCCTACAGGACACTCACTATTCTAGGGGCATTTTCTCAGCTGATCCTTCTCCCAAGATGACCAGAGCTGGTCAAGTTGGCAAAAACAAACCAGAACAAAAGTTTTATCACATTTGCAGGTTTTAGATTGCACAAAGATATATAAAGATATTCGTGCATGCAGAATTGTGAAAAGGCCTTGCACCTTCTACCGATGACTCTAACATAGACTTCCTCCCTCGTAGAGCAATGCTGGCTTTCTGACCCAGGCCTCTCTTGTCTTTACAGATTGCTTTGCTTCCCAACAATGCTGCTGAACTGGGCAAGTATGTCAATGGTGACAAAATTCTAGCTTCAAACACCTACCTTCCAGGACCTCCTGGCCTGCCTGGGGGGCAGGGCCCACCTGGTGAGTATGAAGAAGAACTTAGGAAGCTGATGGCGTTTCTGCCTTCTCCACACGCTAGAGCATGGGTCTGCTAGGAGCTCACACTCAGTAATGTTGGACAGTGCTCTCCAGCTTCCTCCAGGTCTCACAGGTGAAAGCTGATGTGCCTGTTGATGAGAGGCCATGGGATAGTTGGGTCCTATAGCTTGGGAAGAAAGGGTTGATTTTCTGAGATCAGATAAAACTCCTAATGGTCATTTTAAAAGGTAATAATGGTACCACATACCTAGACTCCCAGTACTCCTGAATGAGAGTCTAGCCTACGCTACATAGTGAGAGCCTATCTCAAAAACAATTATTTTAAGTCAATGAGAAGCACCATGAAGACTATTACTTAAGTTTTCCTAAGAAAACCTTAACATATAGAGTAATCAACTCATAAAATCATTCAGTTCTACTGAATGGCAACTGCCCTCATTGCGACTTTCCTTGGTTCTTTGTCTACCTCCTCTTACTGCTTAGCCAATTTTCACCCATGCTCTCACTCCTGTTATGTTGTAAGTGGGATTTATTGAGGTATAGATCACTTAATGAGGTAGGCCATCCCAAGGTTGAGTTTTAGTTTTACCAAGTATAGGCTTCTCTGTAACTAATTCTCCACACCAATCTCACAATACAAGAAGTTTCCACCTTCCACGAAGTTCCCTTGAGACATGGACCACAGTGTTCTCCCTATACCTGCTCTAGGTGTCCACCAACTGCCTTCCTTTGCCAAGGCTTTCCCATTCTAGGACTGCATTTCAGAGCATTCTTGTAGCATATGTTCTGTGTGGCCGTCTTCTTTCTATCAGCATATGGTTTCAGAAATTCACCCTCACTGAATTATTTTTTCAAGTTCTAAGGTATTTTACACTTTATTGTAACCTCTTCATACATACATCAGTAGAGGCTTTCATACCAAAAGAGGAAATGACATTAGTACTAATATGTGACTAAACCATGGTTGTCTTATCGCTCCTTGTCAGCTCAGCAGTGTGCTGGTTCTGACCTTTGCTATTCTAGCTGGGCAGCGGTGACACATACAATAACTACAAACAAAGGAAAGTAAGCCAGACTTACACCTGTAATCCTAGCACTAAGGAGACTGAGATAGGACATTGTTGTGGGTCTGAGGCTAACCTGGGCTAATAAGTGAGATCCTGTCTCAAAAAAAATGAACAAACAACAACAAACAAATTCAAGAAATGTATATACCTCCCTCCAAGCCAGACCACAGGAGCATCTTATTTTCAAGGCAGCAAGGGAATAGTCAGAGGTGGGCACTGGGGGGTTGAATTGGTAGAGGAAGATCGGAAACTATCAGAACTGTAAGGGCATGGCCAAGTTTTTTATCAAAAGGTCGGTAGGAAGTAAGGCTCAGTCTTTCCAAAGGATTCCGTGCTGTCTACTTGTGTCTTAATCCTCTGCTTTCCATTGCTGACTGAGGCTCAGTCTACACAGAACTGACCAGGACTTTGGTGTATTCTGTTGTGAATCCCATGATCTGAATATTCTCTGCATCACTGTAGTTTTCTCAGGCAGATGGCAGACACTGGCATCCTCTTGCTTCTTCTATATAGGCCGGGCTCTCTCCCTACATAGCAATTCCTATCACAGCGGCCCCAGTCCCTCTGTAAGTGAATGCCCTTGCCTTGCATCTTCAGGCCAGTCCACATGTCACCAGAACAAGGGCATCTACAGGACAGGGAGCCATTGGCTGTTGGTTTTCTCAATACATCAGTTACTAGTTTGCCTTCCAGTTCTGCCATCTGGTGTCAAGCACTGTTTGAGCTGTCCAGGGTCCTTGAGGGAAGCAGCATGATTGAGGATGAACGGGCTTTTGCCATGCATGAAGAATTTCTCGTTTATTTCTAGACTTGAGTTGCTTTTCACTGAGAGAGGTATTAGGGTGGCCAGAGAGCTCATGAGGTTCTCTGACCTTTAAACAGAAGTCCCACCCAGAGCCCATCATGAATTGTATCCTGAAGCAACAGCACAGGGGACTGCGCTGGGCCGACACCTTTGGCTTTGGAGCTAAGAGGTGATTCCAGCTCTCTAGCCTCCACAGTTATGATAAGGTCTTTCCGTTTGCATACCAAGGTCCTACATCTTAAAGGCACTTAACCTGCAGTGACCTCTGAAGTTTAGTAATTAGATAACTGCAGGTGGCATCTCACCTCTAGCTTGTCTTTCTGCTCTTGGCCATAGAATAATTACAGGAGCGATCTGTCCCCCTTCTTAAATAAACTATTTCAATACATACGTAGAATGAGTATTGAGAGTTGGGGCAGGAGACATATTTGAATGGAGCATTAGTTGCCTTCAACTTTCCAAGTTGTCAAGGATTCAAATGTAGGCCTCTTTAATGGTTAAAACAACAACAACAACAAAAAAGGTGCTAGTGTATGGGTGTGTGCAAGCATGCATGCATGGAAGCTAGATGTCAACTTTGTGGTGCCTTTTTATATCACTGTCTTCATCTTGCATTTCATACAGACTGGCTGACCAGCAAGTCCCTATAGGATTTTCCTGTATCTACCTCTGGGACTGTGTTTATAGCTATGCACCACCATGCCAAACTTATATATGGGTACAGTAGATCTGAACTTGGATTTTCATTCCTATGCAGAAAACACTTTCTCCACTAAGCCATCTCCCTGACCCCGACATGTTATACTCTTAAGCACCTTGTAGATAATTTTACATGCTGTTGTGATGCCGGCACAGAGACACAGGTCAGGCCAGGCTTAAAGGGGTAAAGCAGGCAGATCACTGGATGAGTGGGGAGGTTGTGGAACTAGCGATCCACATTTTCAAGTGTTTGACTTGAGCAAATAGGTGATAGATGGTTCAAGAAAGGAGAGAAAGGGGAAGTCACTTTTAATCATGTTGAATTTAAATTTCCATGAACACCCTAGTGTAAATGCCATGAGGCAAAGGGCAGAGTTAAAAGACAAAGGTCTGCTGTTACTCCTGGACTCTGTGCTTGTCTTTATTATGGGATAAATGCTAATAAGATGTTCTTGATTACAGGCTCACCAGGACCCAAGGGGAGTCCTGGATTCCCTGGTATGCCAGGCCCTCCTGGACAGCCTGGCCCACGGGGCTCAATGGGACCTATGGGACCATCCCCTGACCTGTCTCATATCAAGCAAGGCCGGAGAGGCCCTGTGGTAAGCATCTTCTCTGAGACCCGTGTGATGTCGGGGGGGGGGGGGGGGGGGAGGGGGGAGAGGTGTGTTCTTGTCCTGTAGTTTTTCTGTGTCAGTTAAATCAGATGCTGTGTCTTCTAGGGCCCACCAGGAGCACCAGGAAGGCATGGCTCCAAGGTGAGTCTTATAAATAAATGGTCCCTAACAGCTATAGGTCTGTTTCTACCTAGCTGGGCATCCAATGAAGCTCAGCAAACTCCATTTACCATTGAAAGTTGAAACATAGATGTACAGGTTGAGAATAGTAAGCCCCACTAGTTTGAAAATCCTAAACTTTTGGAGCACATGCAGCACTTGGGGGGGGTGAGTTTTGAGCTGGGTGTTGTGGCATAAGCACTTGTGATCACACTTATGTTCCTTGATAATCTATGTGCTTTAGAATGGCCTCATTTGATTAAGTGGAGAGCCACACACAGCTCCAGTCTACACAAGTGCTGGCTTCCATCTTGAGAGCTGACAGCCGCTTGTCTCACACAGAAGAAAGGTTGGTGTTTCACACACTGCCTATAAAGACAAAGTTCTTCATCAGCTCTGCTTAGAAATTACATAGCTTTGTGAGAACTCAGCAGCCAAGTCACTCAACCCAAGCTTGCCAGCTCCAATAAGATGTCCCCTGAGCCCAGCTTTAACTCCAAATTTATTTCCTGCAGAAGGATGGTGGTGGGTGGTGCATGGTGGGTGTCTAACCAGAGATGGTGGAGCTAACATCTGCATGCTCTAGAATGCTAACCCTCACCTTTTGGTTTTAGGGGGAGAGAGGAGCACCTGGACCCCCAGGGTCTCCGGTAAGTAGCACGGTCAGTCCTGCTTACCCAGTGAGGATGCTTTCATGGGTGAGACTCTCATAAAATGGTAGAGCTGGGGCTGGTGAGATGGCTCAGTGGGTAAAGACACTTGTCATGAAGCACAGTGACCTGAGTTCAATTTCCAGGACCTAAATGTTAGAAAGAATGAACTGACTCCCACAAATTGTTTCCTTGCCTTCATAGGAGTGGTATGCCTATCCCCACTCAAATAAGTAATGTTTAAACATTATACACACACACACACACACACACACACACACACAACTCAGTTACTTTTATTGTTATACTACAACAGCATGATCGAGGCAATTTATAGAAGAAAACATTTAATTGACTTAAAGTTTCAGAGGGTTAGAGTCCATGATCATCATGGTGGGGAGCATGGCAACAGACAGGCACGCAAGCATGGCGGGCAGGCAAGCACAAGGAGTATCTGAGAACTTGCATCTTGGTTCGCAAGCACTAGGCAGGGAGCTAGTCAGAATAGAGTGGGCCTTTGAAACCAATGATAACACCTCCCCCAGCAAGGCCACACCTCCTTATCCTTCCCAAACAGTTCCAACAGTTGGGAAACACCCATTTAAACTAGCACATTCCACTCCCTAACCCCCATGGGCTTGTGGCCGGATCATAATGCAAAATGTAATTAGTACAAAGAAGGCCCCATAGTCATTCATAATCTCAAAGTAATTTAAAAGTTCAGAGACTTTTTAGACTCAAGACCACCTCTTATTTGTAAAATCAAAAAGCAAATTACATGTTTTCAACATACGTACGATGGCACAGAATATACATTAACATCCTAAAATGGAGGAATGGGCACAAAGCAAGATGGAAACCTAGCAGAGCAAACTCAAAATCCTGTAGCTCCATGCCTGATGTCAAAGGGCTTAGATGGCTCTGCCCCTGCACACTTCTCTCTCAGGCTGTTTCCGCCCCCTGTATGTAGCTCTTCCTGGTAGGCAATCCACAGCTTTGGTGCCTCCAACATCCTGTGGTTTCCAGCAAAATCCAGGCTTCCTTTTTCACAGCTTTATGCGAAAGCCTCTCAGGACCTCTATGTATTCAGGGACTCCCAGCCACACTTTTGGCCTCAGCAACTCTCCTTAACTATGGAGGAAGATTCTGTAGTCCCTTTACTCCTATATCTTTCCTGACTCTAAAACCACAAGGCTGATGCTGCTGAGTTCTGTTGTCTTCTTGGGATGGAGCCTGGCCCCTCACTGAATTATATTTGCATACATTTTCTTATGTTGATGCTCTTTAGGAACAGCTAATTCTTTAGGCCTTTTCCTTTCACAAATTGAAGGATCAGCTGGGTAGGGTCTTGCCTTTATTCCAATTTGCATCAGGTCTCTCCTATCTCTTTCATCATAAGCCTTTGCTTCAATGTTAAATTTCCTAATGTCCTTTTTCTTTTTAAACGGTACATTTTGCATTTCTTTTTTGCTCTGCTCTCTCATTTTCCCAGTAGAAACCTGCACAAGAGTGATTACTAATAAACATGCAACAGAGTCTTGACATCTCCTTTGCCAAAGAAATTAATTCATTTTCTCAGGTTTTTGCCTCAGGTATATTTTTAGAACAAAAGCAGAAAGCAGACACACTCTTTGCTAAAATACCACAATAATGGCTGGCCTCCAGCCCAGTTGCTAATATTCTTCTCTGAAGCCTCTTGGTCTGCAGGGCTGCCTTCAGAGCTCCTACAAAATGGCCCTTTAAGCCCTGCTGTCAACATTCTACTGCTCTCCTAATCCAAAATCCCAAAAACTTCTTACATAAACAGTGTACTTGGGCCTATCACAGAAATAGTCTACCCACTGGTGCCAATATCCGGCTTAACTACTTTTCTATTTCTAAAATACTATAAGCAAAGCAACTTATGAAAGAAAGTATTTGATTGGCTTACAGTTTCAGGGGGTTTGAGTCCATGGCCACCATGGTGGGGAGCATGGCAACAGGCAGGCAGGCACAGTGCTTAGCATTAGCTGAGTGCTCACATTCAATCCACAAGCACAAGGCAAAGAACTAACTGGTGTGGGCTTTTGAAACTTCAAAACCTGACCACACTGACTCACCTCCTCTGATAATACCACACCTCCTAATCCTCCCCAAGCAGTTCCACCAACTAAAGACCAAGTATTCAAACATATGAATTGATGAATGCTAGTGTCATTCAAAGCAACACACACGTGCAAAAGGGCTAGAATAGAAATGTCTATGTTGTTATAACTCAGAACACTTGAGAATTTAACCACTGCTATGCTAGAAGGTCAAATGACCACTCTTTCCAATAAAAGAGCAAAAGGGTTCCCTGGGCTTAAGAAGAAATTTGCTGTATGTACATACAACTTCCAGGAGATTAATAAATGAGCAGGAATATGAGAAAATGCAAGCAAGTCTGTTACTTCTGGGAAAGCAGATATGTGCTCTGAAGAAGGATCAGGAGGCCTTGGTTTACCACCTCAGTTCTTGCTCCTATTATCTTTGTGACCTCAGGCTTTTACCTGACATCTCGACAGTCATTCCTCACCTCCACAGTGGGGTCTGATTTGTCACACTCCCTGTATGTGTGTGGTGAGTATCAGATGGCATCAGAATGCTACATCTGAGTGCGTTGTGGTGTTTCCTGAAGCTTTTAAGGTAGAAGTTGCTGAGTGGCATCCATCTTGAATGTTGGTGATGACTCTACCTTTAAACTTCTAATGTACTCAACATGCATGCATGATTACCAACTAATGAACTCAACATGCATGCATGCATGGTTACAAGCTTTTAGTCTTTCTAAATGTTGCTCCACCACAGCTTGCATAAAAATTAAAGTTTACCAAATATTGCACATGATGAAGAACATCTAATAATAGAATAAGGGATGTTTGATTTGGATCCTTCTAGACAATAAGGATGGACAATAAAGAACAACAGACTCTCTACTTCATTTAGTTGAACTTCATTTTTTTTTTTTTAAGAACAGCAGAAAACATTTTGAACTCTCCATTCTCTCTAAGCCCTTTGCATTCATTCCATTTAAAAAGGTTCACCTCTGAGCCCAGTGGATACCTGTGATGGCGAATCTGCATTTTATAAGTGGGGAAAGTTTAATCAAAGAAATCAGGTCGTTTGGTCATTTGCATGGCCACACATCTTGGAAGAGATTGGTTCAAATCCAGCAGAATCCTTACCTCTTGACCACCACTCAGACTTCCAGATTTCTTTGGAAACTCCCCTGAGAAAGGAGAGGTGAGTGTGTGTGTCACCAGTATTCATGTGTAAGAAGAGGGACTGGAAGACAGTCCTGAGGACCCCAGGCTGCTTATGTAGTCATTAGGTCTACTCTGTTTAGGCTACAGCATTGGTTAGATGGTAGTCATCCACAAGCAACAGGACTCGAAGGTGGCAAAACTTGGCAGGAAGCTGCTGTGACAAGTAGCTATAACTTCACAGCTCTGATTGCTCCCATGTGTGCACAGGGACCCCCGGGCTCTTTCGACTTCCTGCTGCTCGTGCTGGCTGACATTCGAAATGACATTGCGGAACTTCAGGAGAAGGTGTTTGGGCACCGGACTCACTCTTCAGCAGAGGATGTCCCCCTACCTCAGGAATTTTCCAGCTACCCAGAGACTCTGGACTTTGGATCTGGGGATGATTACTCCAGAAGAACTGAAGCGAGAGACTCTGAGGCCCCCAGAACCTTTTATCCGTAGCATATCCCATGTCTTCATGCCACCAGAAGAGACGCTTCACCCAGCCATAGCATCTGAAGGGGAAAATATACCACTGGAGGACTAAGGCCTTTGTCTGTACTGTCTTCCTGTCCACTCTACTCTGCTTCCAAATCCTGTTTTCCAAGTGTCCTGCACATCCCACTCACTAGCAACAAGAGAACTTGATGGGTTAACTTGCTGTTCTTGAAGAGCCACTGGGTAGTTGTCATCATGATTTCCTTGACATCCTACTTTTTCAGGAACTTTTGAATTTTCAAGTGAATCGCTCCCACAGAATCTTAAACTTTGAGAGAATGCCAAAAGGGAGGAGTGACAAAGTGGGCTCTCAGAAGTGTAAAGCTCATTGTAAAAAGAAAATTATGTTTAAAGTAGAAGGAGTACAATGGAGACTGATATTGGTTTTAAAAAATGACTTTTTCCTTAGTAACATAACAGATTTCAAATTCCGCATCCTATTTTCTAGGCATACATACACACACACACACACACACATATATGTATATATATATATACATATACATATATATATATATATATATATATATATATACACAGAGAGAGAGAGAATAGAAAAGATGTACAAAATGCCTTGGCCCTGACCAGATGACCTAAGGTGCCATCAGGCCACCAGAGGTGCCATCAGGCCTTGATCCTGGCTGGATCAAGACTGGAGGGAAGTTACTGGCCTGGAATCTTGGCAAAGGGTGATGGGAGATGGGCAGGGAATGTGTCAAGAAAGGCATCACTAAAGCTAGATCACCAGAGGCAGATTAACCTACTCTTAAGACATTTGGAGTTCATATCCATAGCCAGCCAAGCTAGTAAGTGCCCTGGGAATAAGTACACATGGAGAGGTCACTGAGGCAGAGAAGGGGAAGATTGTTTTTTTCTAATTGGGCATAATTTTCCATTTTCCCCTGATTTGATTAAAATTCCTGTTGTAGGTCTCCTTGACTTTTTTCTCCAGGTCCAGGTTGAGATGGTTGAAGGGAAGCACATTCCCCGATACCTCCCTGAGTCCTTTCTTAGAGCACTTCTAGATCCCCTGGGAATCACTCCCCCAGAAAGAACAAGAGACCAGGTCCCTTCATGGTGTCTTTGGGTTCTCTTGAGCTCCCCGAGGGAACTTGCTCACATGGTGGCCTACACCAGGGTCTCTGTCTACTGTCCTGCAGTGTCCCTTGTATTCCTAAGAAGTTTCCATTTAGCTTTTCCTCAGATCCTTAGAGCCCCATCATGTCCGGACCCCTACTGTGACAGCTTGTTGAAAAAACACTGCTCTTGGGGATACATGACCCTGCACTATCCATTCTTCTTCCTGAGCAATGAAAAGGGACTCTGTCTACAGAGCTCAGGTGGCTCGATGGCCTTTTGCTTCTTCTCCCCTGTCACTTCCCCTCTCCCTCCCTCTCACAGCCCTCTTCCCCTCTCTCTTTTCTCTCTTCCTCTCTTTTGCCCCTTCTCTCCTTCCTTCCCTCTATCCCTTTCCTTGCCCCCTCCCTGTCTCTCCCCTTCTTCCCTTTGTTCCCTCCCTCCTTTCCCCTCCTTCTCCCAGTCCCTTTACTCCTCTTACTTTCTTCCCTCCCTCCATCCCTGTTTGCCCACTGGCCTTCTTCTCCTGTTAAAAAGGCAGGGCTCCCACACACTAATGCCACATCCCCAGTGGCTGTCCACCAGCAGGTCATGGTAAAGGCAAGCACACATTTGTACTGCTTGCTTGCTGTCTCTTCCTCCTTCCCCGCAGTCCTTCTAGTACCTGAGCATCACCACTGATGGCCTTGCCAATCATGGGTTCCTGAAGAAATGGATGTAAGCACAGTCAAACTCCACCTGGAATCTATTTAATGCTTGCCTGCTTATAGAACCCAGAGTTTCGAGGGTGTGGATGGATGAAATCTCAAAACTATGCAAGGCTCTGTGAGCAGTGATTATGTCCATCTTTTTTATGAGGAACTTTATAAGCTCTACTTTTTCTGACAGTGAAATGTGTGTAGAAATATAATCTTTATTGCCAAATGCTGGTAAAATGCAAGCACGCTCCATGCTTGGCCAGAGGCCAGGATAATGTACTAAAAGAATGAAATGAAAGTCATAATATCTGGGATTCATGAGTCTATTCTAGATAATCATCTCCAGTAAAACATACAATAGCCTGTATTTTGTAACTGCAATCTGCTGGACCAGGTTAGTTTAGGTAATCATTGCTCCTCAGATTTTCAAAACTTGGACTATAAGACCAAAGTATGTCCTTTGCTTATCTAAATTATGGGGTGTGTGTGTGTGTGTGTGTGTGTGTGTGTGGTGTGATAAAGCATTAACACTCATGTATCTTTTAATTGTGGATAGAAAAAAATCAAAGCTTTACTATCTAAACCAACATCTGCTCAAAATCCCATGGGAAAGCCTTTGGGAGGAAGGACAGTTCAAAACAGATTTACTGTGTCACCTCATATCTCATGGCAAAAGTGTTTTTTTTTTTTTTTAATACTTTCCTCAACCCTTTAGTAGAGTTGTTCAATTTTTCTAATATCCCCACAAATAAGACTTGGCAATAAATTGCCTCTGTGTTTATAAAGCAGTGAGAATACAAACTCACTGAAAAATGTAAAGAAGACATGCATTTTAGTTCATAAAATCTACTCTTCTTTCCCAGTTCCAGGGGGGAAAATAGGGTTCTTGTGTCAAAAAAAGTATTAGGAGCCAGATAAAGTGGTATATGCCTGCAATCCCAGAACCTGAGAAGTAAAAATAGGCAAGTCAGGAGTTCAAGGTCAACCTCAGCTACATAGCAAGTTTAAGGCCAACCTGGACTACATAAAAGCCTATATCATAATAATGATGATGATGATGATGATGATAATAATAATAATAATAATAATAATGAGAAGGGACTGGACAGATGGCTTAGCAGTTAATGATGCTTGCTGCTCATCCAGAGGACCAGAGTTCAATCTCCAGCTCCTGCATCAGGCAGCTCACAAACTCCTATAACCCAGTTCCGGGTGATCTGATGCCCTCTTCTGGCTCCTGTGGTGCCTGCACTCATGTGCACACATATACACATAGATACACATGCACACAACTAAAAATGAAGTCTTTTTTTAAAGGAGTGGTGCAAAGAGGATGCTGCCTTTTCTTCTATCTATATTAATCTCCAGTACTTGCTACAGAATTAACTAGAGTCATATTGCTGTGTAGAGTTCATTGTCCAACAGGTAAATAATAAGTGCCCATTGACCTTCAAGGGAAAGAAGGAGTATTACCCCACCCAAAGACCAGGTGCAAAACACCCAGGTAGGTCCAGATATGTCCTGTTCTGTTTCCAAGGTTCTGAGCAACCTTGCCTTGGGGTTGTCACTATCAGGCTTGCTGGAACCGATCTTCTTCACAACCAGGCATTATAATTTATCTTGGGGGGTCTTAGGAAGCAACTCTCCATCTTATTTTGAGCATCATTTCCCTCCTCTTCCCTTATCAAGGCTGCCTCATGGAGAAATCCTCTGCAGCCACCTCCTGGCAAAATTATCTGCCAGGTATCCTTTCTGAAGGGCAAAGCCATTTGCTGGAATCTGAGCCAAACGATTGGTAGAAAAGAACCTTCTAAATCTATTGGTCATGTATGCAGGGAAATAGATGTATTGTTTCCTGACACAGCAATCATATATGTCTCACAACATATCACAAATAATTTTCTATTAGGATAAGAGAACAAGGACTGTAATTGTTAAGGATGAAGTGATGTGCTCCTCCTACAAGTGTTTCCATCAGAGAGAAACCATGGAAAGGATGTTTGGACCCCAAATCCCTCAAGGATGGCAACATGTTTTGTCAGATTCCCAGATCTTGTTCCCTGAGAGGGGGAGTTCATGAATCTGTTTTTATTTCCCAGTGCCTGACAATATACTTCAGTATCTCTATGTGTTATTTATATCAGATCACATAACGGTCAAATTGATATTCCAACAGTCATGAATGTAATACTATGAAATGCTTTTGTATGACTGTATATGCTTAATAACAAAGTTATTTTTCTTACATGGCTCTCCTGTTTTTTGTCCTGGAACTTATGTAAAAGGAGCTATCCTCTGGCCAGCTGAATGTGGTGCATCCATTACTTTTCTTATTGTGTGCCAAAATATCTGTATGACAAAAGAAATTTAAGGAAGTTTTTTGGGGGGGTTTTGTGTTTCCTTATAGTTTGAGGGATATATCATCATGGTTGGGAAGTCATGGCTGCCTGGTGACAAGTAACTAATGATATTATTTCATTTGTAGGCGGGAAGCAGAGATTCATGCTTCCTTGTTGATTTTTAGTCTCTCTCTGAGAACTAATTACCTATCTGTCTACCTCCTTCCTAGACTAAAGAACCCTTGGAGGCCTGAGGATATGGTTTAGCTAGTAAAATGTTTGTAATGCAAGCCTGAGCATGCGTGTTCAGATCCCCAGCACCCACATATAAAGCTAGGTGCAGTGGTAAGCTTCTGTAATCCCAGCACTGGGGAGGCAGAGACCGGAGGATTCAGCAAGAGACTCTATTTCCAAAAATAAATGTGGAAAATGATTGAGGAAAACACAATCTATTGACTTTTGGCTTCCATTTGCATGCCTGCACACATTTATACTGATATGTGTAACACACACACACACACAATCCTGAGAGGTAAGTTATCTTGTCAAATGCCACAAAGCAGGAAAACACTTCTAATAATGGTATATTTCAAAACATTCAAGAATCACTGTGTTTGTTGACTCTGTAAGCATATCATAGACATACACACATTTTTCCCTAATTAGGAATCACATAAAAGGCCACACCAGTGCAGACGATGACACAAGACAACACAGGGCCATCACTTCCCAGTGCTCTAAACTACACTGGCTGTTAAGATTGTCTTTAGTGACCAAGAAAAAAAAATAGCAAAGCTAGTATCATTACTCCCCAAAGGTAACTTGGAGTCAAGACTCAAAAAGGGAAAACAAGTGGTCTTATACAAGGAAACACACACTTGTTTCAGATAATTTTTATGTCAGTTTCTTATTAACATCCATTGCCAGCATATTTCATATTGAGCTGCATGCAAACAGTGGGAATCATGAAGCATGTTCTTACTCTATCCCAGCATTGGGCTCTTACACAACAGATAGTAGTCTAGTGGGTGAACTTGATGACAGGGTAAAGTATAGAGAGAGGTCTTGAGGAGTGACCCAGCCAGATCCTAACTTCAGTGGTTTTTCAAATGCTTCTGACTGTGCCCCACTGAGAAGGTGTGGTTAACACAACATGCCAACACATACACTTGTCTACTTATCATTGAAGCAAACATTT